TGAAAAAGATAGAAAAAGCAAAAGAAATCGCAGGTGGGCTGTGGATTGGCTGCCAAAGGCAGCGACAATGGTGCCGAAGGTGATAGTTAGAGATAGGGAGTAGGGTTTGGGTTTGGGGTTAAGGATATAGTTGACATTAAGATGGGGGTCCAAAGAGAAAATCGTGAGGTCTCATTTTGCTGGGTGGTGGTTCAAAGAATTAAGGGGCCAAAGTAGAAAGATAGGTGTAAATGGCAGTCCTCTTTTTTTTTTAGAGAGGAAATTACAAAAAAAAAAACCCTAGGGTTTGGCGTGTCTTTCACATTAAACCCCAACATTTTAATTTTAACAATTTAAACCTTGAATTTTTAACCGTGTCCCAATGTTGACCCTCCATCTGTTTCTGTTTGTTTCTGTTAACTTTTTACACTTATTTGATACATGTGTCACTTTTTGATTCGTCCATAATTATTATAATTATTTTATTCCAAAATTATTCCAATACTTTCTCTCTTCTCACTCTCTTTTCTCTTCCCACCATGTCTTCTCTTCTCTCTATCATCAAGCAGTCCCATTTAGAAACATACCCAAAAAATTAAACCAAAAATCAATCTGAATGACAACCCAGAAACCAAATTCGGAAACAAACTATACAAAACATACCCTTTTGCCGAATCCAAAGATACCATGAACCAACACAATGGGAGGCAAATCAACAGCACTGGTTGACCCTTTGGGCTCTTCCTCTTTGACCCCAACATTCACATTTGACTTGAAAAGAGATTTATTCAAAGCCTGAGAAAGGTCACCAGCCACTGTTGCGCTGAATATGTAAAGCCATGCAAATGAACCAAAGAGCTCACAAACAACTCTGCTAAATACAGGCCAACCATCTATAACCTGGTCATCTTCTATACATATATATATATATATATATATATATGTATCTCTCTCTCTTTCACAAAATTTTAGAAAAACAGTGAAGGCTCTTCTGCATCAACCTCAAGATTTGAAAATAATCAAAACCCAAATCAAAACCTTATATGATTCATTTATTTTGTGTTTATATATATATATATATATATATTAGTATTTTTTTGTGTGGACCGAAAAAGCTCTTCCTCCAATTCCAAATCAGATGATCAAACGATTATGGGGTCTTAGGGTTTTGGGAAAGAAGGAAATGGAAGAGCTCTTCCTTTAATTCCAAATCAAATGATCAAACAATTATGGGGTCTTAGGGTTTTGGCGAAGAAGGAAAGCGATTATAAAGTCTTAGGATTTTGGGGAAGAAGGAAAGGGTTTTGGTAGTGCTTTTCTTCGGCTGCTTTTCTCCCTTGCTTTCTCACTCCGGCATGCCTAGCCATTCTAGTGAACCAGTTTGATCATAGAGCTTTGATATGGATTTGGGAAAAAAGGCAATTGAGAGCTAAGAGAGAAAGAGAGAGAGAGAGAGAGAGAGAGAGAGAGAGGTGTGGAAGATGTTGTGGTAGCGCAGGAGCAGTGTGGACGGAGGTTGGCAAACGGCGCGAAGGTTAGCGAATGGGCGGAGGTCAACGATGGGGCATCCGGAGGTCGTTGATCGTTTATCTTGGAAGAGAGAGATGAGTATTAAAATAATTATAATAATTATTGACGAATCAAAAAGTGACATGAGTATTAAATAAGTGTAAAAGGTTAACACAAACAAATGAAAACAAATGGAGGGTCAACATTAGGATACGGTTAAATATTCAGGGTTTAAATTATTAAAATTAAAATGTTGGGGCTTTTTTATATTAGTATTTTTTTGTGTGGATCGAAAAAGCTCTTCCTCCAATTCCAAATCAGATGATCAAACAATTATGGGGTCTTTGGGTATTGGGAAAGAAGGAAATGAAAGAGCTCTTTCTTCAATTCCAAATCAAATGATCAAACAATTATGGGGTCTTAGGGTTTTGGGGAAGAAGGAAAGGGATTATAAAGTCTTAGGATTTTGGGGAAGAAGGAAAGGGTTTTGGTAGTGCTTTTCTTCGGCTGCTTTTCTCCCTTGCTCCTTCGCTCCGACATGCCTAGCCATTCCGGCGAACCACTTTGATCATAGAGCTTTGATATGGATTTGAGAAAAAAGGCAATTGAGAGAGAGAGAGAGAGAGAGAGAGAGAGAGAGAGGTGTAGAAGATGTTGTGGTAGCGTAGGAGCAGTGTGGACGGAGGTTGGCAAACGGCGCGAAGGTCAGCGAACGGGTGGAGGTCAGCGATGGGGCATCCGGAGGTCGTCGATCATTCATCCTGGAAGAGAGAGAGAGAGAGAGAGAGAGATGATAGAAAAAAAGTTAATTTAGAAATAAAATAATTATAATAATTATTGACGAATCAAAAAGTGACATGAGTATTAAATAATTGTAAAAAGTTAACACAAACAAATGAAAACAGATGGAGGGTCAACATTAGGATACAGTTAAAAATTCAGGGTTTAAATTATTAAAATTAAAATGTTGGGGCTTTCTTTTGTAATTCCTCCCCCCCCTTCTCTTTTTCTTTTTTTCTTTTTTTTTAAGGTGAATTAAGAAAGGAGTCGTCATTCAAAATTTCTAAAATTTTAAGTTTCTTTTGTAGAAAATATTTAAAGAGTTTCAAATTTAAACGAATAATTATGTTCTTTTAAAACTAAGGGACGTGTCCCTAATAAAAACACAGTACAATGGGAGTGTTTAGGAAGTTAAAAATTGGATTTTTAAGTTAAAATTCACAAAAAGATAAAATAGGCTAAAGTAGTTAATAAGACAAAATATTACATAAAACCTATAATTATTTTATTTTTTCTACTCACAAGCATCGCATCCAATTACAAAAAAAATTTAACTCTTTTTCCAAACACAAATATTTTAGCCTACTAAAATAGTCAAAAACTAAAATAACTTACTAAAATAACCAACTTCCCAAAGGAAGCCAATGTCTATATAAGACATTAAAGCTCTTTAATTTTCAAATTGTTAATTTGGGTTTGTTTATTTATTTATTATTTTCATATATATATATATATAATATATTTTATCATAAACGATTTATTAAACCTTTTTCAACGTGTACAAACGTCATAAAGACTAACAGGAATATCGGTTGCATTTTGGAGTAATCCATTATTCGTTAATACAATCACGTGGGTAGGTAATAACATTTTTAAAAATGCGATTACATGTCTCTCATAATCTGAAGCTAAGAATTATTTACTTTACTTTTGATTCACATATTTACAGTATATTTATTGATTTTTTAATAGTAATATTGATGGTTTATTGTGTAAAATTTTGCCCAACATCTTGTAACAAAGCAGATGACAGTAATGGAGTGAGTAGCAGAGAGAGCAGTGGCTAACACCTTGGTACTGGTGGAATTGACAAGAAGTACACCATCTAAATTTTTCCATCCACAAAAGACTTCCAATGATACCTTCCCCTTGCTTTTTAATAATAAAGGTTTTTTTTTTTTTTTTTTTTTTTGAAAAACTGTTTTTGTCTTATAGGCGCTAAATAGAAGCTGCACCAAATAATTTCACACGTATATAAAAAACAGAGAGTTATAAACAGCTCCATAAATTGCACTAAACAGTCCCATATTCATAAAACTAAAAGTCTCTGATTTCTCAACACAATGTTCCACCAATCTCGCCAAGTTTAGATGGTGAGTGCTGCCTATTATCTTGACATGCTCAGCTAAGAAAAAGACTCTCTTGCCGTTGCTTAGAAGAGTTACTTCAAAGACCAATATCCATATCAGTCTGTGACTTTGAGCTCAATTCTATAAGAGAATCTCATGGGCATTCCCGGCACTTCTTGATCTAAATAATCCTCCTTGGTTTCATCAGTTCCTCTTTTCTACCATGGAAAGGAAAACAAAGATGAAAATTATAATAAAGAGACTGGAAAAACACTCCAAGTCTGGATACCAGTTTGATTACAAATTGATTATTGACTCCACTTTATATTGACCTTCATTGAGATGAGCTCTGTTAGTATATATAGAGCATTTTCCACTTGAATTTTTATTGGAAACATCACTTGAACAAAACAGAGCAGCTCTGTAGTAGCAACTACTTAAACAGGCTTGCTTGCAACTACTCTTCATGTCTATGAATTAAAAGCATTTGACGTGTCAGCCTCAACAATGAGGTAGGTAACATTCTTTAGCTTTATGAGCTTGTGATGTTTTGAAGGTTTGCAGAACAAAGGAATAATTTTAGAACATTCAAGATTATGATGTTTATCATTTAGTTCTGTTTAAAATAGCTTACTTGTATTGCTATTAGCCACTTTTGAGTAACTGCAATCCAAACTTGCCAAGCTATCGTACCATATCTACTGCAAACTAGTGGTGGCTTAAGGAGTAGGCGCTCTATTTAGGAGGGCCCTACTTACTATATATAGACAAATCATAAAGCGAGAACAACCTCTTTTGATTGTAAAGGTTAGGGAAATTGTTAAGAATTTTAAATAAAAATTATAAAAAAAATATTACAGAGGGCCCCAATTATATTTTTCGCCTTCATTCAAATAGGTTTGATCCATTTAGTGCACAGTATAGCCATTGAATGCACAACAGTTTGGGCATTACTCTAATGTGCAGAATCGATGTAAAAATATGATACAAGAAAAATATTGCAAATCAGATTTCAATTTATCCATTTCCTGTTACAGATCAGTAGGTTCTGGGAAAGCGGAGGGGGAAAAACATGGCACTATAATTTTTTGTTCATCATGTCACACTCTTTTTGTTTTCCCAGTCAAGCTTAAAGTGGAAAAAAAAAAATCACATTCTGCAGACTAATTGATGTACAAAATGTTTTCTTTCCCAGCATTTCAAGAATATAACCCTTTAACCAAATTAATTAGTCATAAAATGGCTCTAAATTTGTCCAAAATATAAGCCACCTTTGTTCCTTCTTCAAACTTAATTTACTATTCATTGACACATCTTTTGGAGAATAAAGTTTGAATCCTTCAGCCAAATTAATTAGTCATAAAATGGCTCTAAATTTGTCCAAAATATAAGCCACCTTTGTTCCTTCTTCAAACTTAATTTACTATTCATTGACACATCTTTTGGAGAATAAAGTTTGAATCGTAAACCACTAATTTGATGTTCTCTTGTTTTACTTGAATCATGAGAAACTCTCATACTCTCACAAAATATCTATGTACTTCGCCTTCACTATAGAACTTGAAAATGTTTTAATTAAAACTATGGGAAATCTAATCTTGCTCACTACATTCATGTGGTTTTGTATGTACTATGGAAATGATGATGGAAGAACTTGAAGAAATAAAAGGGGCAAATATTATTGAGAGAGTTGAAATTTTATCAACTCTACCTAAAACACCATTAATCCTGGTATCATGGATTGTGATTTGCACAAATAAAAATCTTTGATTATAGTTCACTACATAAGAAATGGAAAACAAAAACTTTAAACAACCAGTTGTAGTTTGCTCGTTGGAGTATACTTTATTTACCTTGGTCCTGATAAAGTTGATGCAAATAATGGAGTAGCAGCACCAATGGCATCCCCTTGGTGACCAGCAACTGTAATTGGTCTTCGTGCCACAAGAGTTGTGAAGTTATAATCCAAATTGCTTTGAACATCTACAGAACCCCCTAAGACCTTAACCACCACTGACATGGAAGGCCTCCTGGAAAAATCACTTTGTAGACACCACACAGCAACCCTCATCATCTCCACAACTTCTGCTCTATGTGTTTGCATGTCATCATTGTATTTATCAACGATATCCAGAAGTCGTTCCTCTTCTGCTTTCCTCTTAAACAAATCTAGCAGATGCATATCTTCCTCAGGCTGAGACCTATCCAAATTTTTGCGCCCACACAACATTTCCAGCACCACGACACCAAAGCTATAAACATCTACTTTCTCGGTGATAATTGAGCTCAACCATTCAGGAGCCAAATAGCCTGGTGTTCCCCTCATCAATGTTACAACTTGGCTTTGGTCCTTATCAATTAGTTTCGACAATCCAAAATCAGAAATTTTCGCATTGAAGTCTTCATCTAAGAGGATGTTTTGGGGTTTGATATCCAAGTGAAATATCTTTTGCCTACATTCCTCATGAAGATAGGCTAGTCCCTTGGCTATATCCATAATGATCTTCTTTCTGGATTGCCACCCAAGAGTTTGCTCCTGGTGCCTTTGGAAGATCCATGTATCCAAGGATCCATGGGACATGTACTCGTAAACTAGAAGCCTATATGATTTTTCAGCACAAAATCCAATTAATCTCACCAAATTGACCTGGTGAATGCTGCTTATTGTTTCAACTTCAGCTAAAAATGACTTCTTAACTTGACCAAAACCATTGAGACGCTTCACCGCTACTTTGGTGCCATCGCTTAATGTCCCTTGAAACACTGACCCAAATCCTCCTTCCCCGAGCTTGTCATTGAAATTGCTTGTCATGGCTCTCAATTCTTCGTAAGAAAATCTGGTAGGCATCCCTGGTACTTGATCAACAAAGAACTCATCGAAATCCTCGGACTCTTGTTTCTTTTTGAAAAAGAAAATGCAAGAGGCAACCACGAAAAATAGAACAAAAAAAGCTCCGAGACTGGAACCCATTATGATCTTGACTTGCCTTGATTTCTTTTGAGGAGAATTTACTGTTGAAGGAATAAGATTCTGTGTAGTCGGAGATTTCTGCACTTTAAGAAATACAGCAACGGTCTCACGCATTGTTTCCTCATTACTTATAAGAGAAAAGACTTCAGACAATAATAAGCAACCTTGCCTTGAATGATAGCCCAAATTATGTGCAAAAAGAGCTACTTTGCATGAACAGTTTTTCAAGCAACTCGTCTTGCAATCCTCTAATGCTAATTTTTCTTCCAAATTAAAGTTTTTGGATAGGGATTGGATGTTGAACTTGAAGTAAAAGTAACTAGTATTCTTAAGCTCCAAAAGGGTGTGATATTGAGAATGGTCACAAGAAATGGGTGTAACAAGGGAACATCCAAGGCTGGGTTGCCTAGAATTTATTTGCCAGAAAGTGCTGTTGTAGATGGCTTCCTCAAGACAACTGCACTGTCCATGTGAAGAACAGAGGCCGTAATTGCCACACACCATGGGATAACCGCAGTCACCAATATCTGATGTCATCAGATCAGCCGTCACAGTCCAAATCCAATTCCGTCCATCCCACTCATATACCTTCAAATGCCCATCAGGATCCAACCTTACGAACTGATGATGAGCTGACGATGATGATGCAACAGGGATTTTGTGCCGCAAAAAGCTTTCTTTCTCAAATTTAACATATTTCACTCCTACATAGTATTGAAAATAGGGCAAGGGTGGATTGGATTCTACATAAGCCACCACCATCTCGTAATAGTCTTGAACTTTAAAAGAAAACAAACCTGGAGTCAAGTTCGATGCGGATTTGCTGGAGGTGAGCTTCTGGCCACGAAACAAAGTCTGGCCAACAAGCAAGGAGTCAGTTGGGTGATCAAACGACTGCCAAACCGTTTTATTGTTTTGATCAAAGAGGACCAGGTTTCCCAATTCAGTGAAATTCATGCCGAAGACGGACTTTCCTGATGTGTTGGTAGACCATACGAAAGTGCCATCTGCGTCATGCAATATCAAATCTCCATCTCCAGTGAGTTGTAAGGTGGCGTCAATTTGAACAGGATTGTCCCGATTTGCAGACCAAACTAGTTCCGCTGCAATTATATAAGACGAGTTGTCGCTAAAATAATCTGTACTAGCGAAGAGTACAACACCAAAGAGGCATGCCTGAGTTTGTTGAGTAGGGCAATAGAAACCACAGATCAAATGTGAGCCACTGGATGATCCTTGGAGGACGGGTGTGAGATTGAAACTGGGATAATCGGTAAAATTATTGTAAATTGAGGGCTTGTTGGTCCAACAAGTATTTAACTTTGCCATTGGAGGTGCAAATTGGGCATTGTTAAAGAAGGATACTGAGGCTATGAAAAAGATAATAACAGCATAACAAATAGTGCAAGATAGACCCATTGGTGGTGGTTTATCATTACAGCTTTGTTTCTTCTTCTTGGTCACTAGTTTTTATTTTTCTTTGGGGAAAGCAATGGAGAAGAAGGTGTTGAAGAAGAAAGGTGAGTTGCAAACTCCAGATTTCGTTTCTCCCAAATGCAGAACAGCGAGGACAGTGCCGCATTTCAAATCACTCTTAAATCACTATTACAAGAATTATTGCAGGTCATTGAAATGTTGTTTACGTTCCCCACTCCTTTTGTTATGTCAAAAAGGAAGAAATATCATTTTGCCAACTAAATTTTCACACGCTTTTTAATTTGATTTTCAATTTTTGATTAATATTAATTTTACATTTAAACTTTTAAAATTTTAATCAATTTGGTTCTTGTCGTCACATTTCGTCCACAATTGGACAAAATGTGTTGACGTGGTACCAAATTTTATTTAGAATTTCATTTTACCCCAAAACTATACCTTAAAATTCAATTTGCCCTCAAAATATAACAAATTAAATTTAAATATTTAATCAAATGAAAGGGTAAATTATTTATAAGTCCTATTTGGAAGACTTATAAAAGATATGGTCCTATAAAAGAACTTATAACCTAATAGGTCATGTGATTTTCTTGTGGACACATTTACTCCCAATCTTAATTAATTAATAATCTAATTAATGATAATACCATATATGAAAATATAATGTTACCATAGATTATGATCATATCTATATGGTTAGAAATTTGAAATTCAAAATAACCTAATTAATGGTAATACCATAAATGTGAAATTCAATTTTATCATAGATTGTGATCATATCTATATAGTAGGAAATTTGAAATTCAAAACATAAATGTAACATGTAACATCTCAAACTCAATGTGACATTCCCATACGCTTTTGAAATTTAAAATAACTTGATTAATAGCAATACCATATATAGGTAATCCAATATTACCATAGACTGTGATCATATCTATATGATTGGAAATTTAAAATTCAAAACATAAATGTAACATGTAACATCCCAAACCCTATGTGACATTCTCATATGCCTCTCATCCCAAACCTAACGTAAATGTAAAATGCAACATCCCACACCCATTGTGACATTCCCATATGATTCTCATCCCAAATCCAATGTGACATTCCAATACTCCACTGTTGAATTATGAATAATGTATCCTCCTAAACGTAACATATAACATCTCAACCCAACCCATGTATTGAACCACCATCACCTCCAACCCATCGTAACTTCGATATCATAAGACGGGGTTCAATCCACATTTAATTAAAAAATTAAAAACTCAGTAATTTTGCGCAATATAATGTGACACGTATGTAAACACTGAATACAACAATGACACAACACACATTTAAAGATAAATACAGCCGAACGTAACACACAAAAGACATAACAACGTTGTGGATGTGGGATAACATTACAATCAAAGGCCCCGTTTGTTTTGGGGTATAGAGGGAGGGATGATATTAGGATAGAGGTGAGACCTATTTAATGTTGTGTTTGTTTGTAGATTTGGCAAAGGGATTGAGATGGAGGAGGGGATTAGGTTGGGCCTTGGAAGGGGGATTGGGATGGAGGATATGGAAGTGGTATTAAAAAAAATAGTTCGTCGGATTAGAAATTATTTATTTATTTTTCATTTTTTACATTTTGGGCATTTTTTTTTTTTGAACATTAATGTTTAATTTTTTGTATTTTTTTGTTAAGTAAAAATCATTGTTTTATTTGTTTTATTTTTATCTGGAAATTTTTTATTTTTTTAATTTTTTACACATTGGGCATTTTTTTTTAACATTAATGTTTAATATTTTTGTATTTTTTATTATTTTATATAAAAATAATTTAACAATTTCTACACTAACAACTATTATCAAAACAAATATAATTTTACTTAATCCCCTCACTATTAATCACCTCACTAACAATCCTCTCACTATTAATCTCATCCATTCTACCTCTAAAAACAAACAAAACCTAATGTAACATCGTTTGAGGCTAATGAAAGTGTGCCAATGGATGGTTATAATAGATTGTCAAAGCCATATCAGATAAGATGACAGTGAAACATGAATAACTGGCACCACACAACAAATCTCACTAATTGGAGAAGCAAAAACCATACCTCATTCCCTCAACCACTTGGAGTCCAAATCAGCAGAAGCAAACAAAACACAACCTCCAACCTTGAAGACAGTATTGGCCATATCCTCATCCAAACAAGCAACATTTTCAATATCCATAATTGTTGTCTATAATCAAATAGAAGTTTTTGATGTAATATCAAAACTTCATTTAAAATTGGGAAAATTCTAAACATACATAAAATTCATAGAAAAAAAACTTGACAAGAATGATATGACAATGCTATTATTGTAAATAAATCCATTTTCAATGATTTTTTATTTTGAAGTGAAAGGTCCACAATGAGCCGTATCATTATGTATGAAAATCATGTATAAATTTTTGTTTGTATAGTATTATTCTTAAAATTTTATTTCACCTTTCAAAGTAATAATTATAAACCTATATTTTTATTTCATAATCACTAGATATATAATGAAAATCCTTTATTGTAAATAATAGATATCCTTTATTATAAACTTGTAACAAAGATGGTCAAAGTTTGATATAGGAAATATCATTTTGACTCTTAAAATTTCACGTATTTTTCAATTTAATCTCCAGATTTTGATTAATATCAATTTTACACCCAAACTTTAAAATTTTTGATTAATTTGGCCCCTGCCGTCACATTCAGTCTATAATTGGACAGGATGTGCTGACGTGACAGCAAAATTTATTTAGAATTTCATTTTGGAAAAATTATTTATAAGTCCTAGTATGGGAACTTATTTAATGTGAAGTCATGTGTAATTTCTTATAGAGTTTCAAGTCGTATTTAGATAGGAATGTGTTCTATAAGGTCGTATGAGTTGTAAATAAATGGTATTAGTGTACTATTATACTCCTTGTTTATTTTTATATTAGAGGTTATTGTATCATTCAGTATATTACGTTTTTGAAGGCTTTTAGGAAAGTGGATTGTGCAAGCTACGTCCGTGGCTTGAATGTCACCTTGATCGCAGATTCTGATGGATTTTGAAATGTTGCTTGTTTGGATGAGGGTATGGCCAATACTGTCATCAAGGTTGGAGGTTGCGTTTTGTTTGCTTCTGCTGATTTGGACTCCAAGTGGTTGAGGGAAGGAGATATGGTTTTTGCTTCTCCAATTAGTGAGATTTGTTGTTGTGTGGTGCCAAGTGTTCATGTTTCACTATCATCTTATCTGATATGGCTTTGACAATCTATTACGACCATCCATTGGCACACTTTCATTAGCCTCAAATGACGTTACATTAAGAAAGTGTGGCAATGGATGGTCGTAATAGATTGTCAAAGCCATATCAGATAAGATGACAATGAAACATGAACAATTAGCACCACACAACAACAAATCTCACTAATTGGAGAAGCAAAAAACCATACCTCCTTCCCTCAACCACTTGGAGTCCAAATCAGCAGAAGCAAACAAAACACAGCCTCCAACCTTGATGACAATATTGGCAATATCCTCATCCAAACAACCAACATTTTCAAAATCCATCAGAATCTGTGATCAAGGCAACATTCACGCCCACAAACGTAGTCTGCACAATCCACTTTCCTAAAAGTCTCCAAAAACGTAATATACCGAATGATACGATAACATATAATATGAAAATAAATAAGGGGTATAATAGTACACTAATATCATTTATTTACAACTCATAGGACCTTATGGAACACATTCTTATCTAAATAGGACTTGAAACTCTTTAAGAAATTATATAGGACTTCATATTAAATAAGTTCTCATAATAGGACTTATAAATAATTTTCCCAAAATGAAACTCTAAATAAATTTTGGTGTCACGTCAGCACATTTCGTCCAATTATAAACTGAATATGACGGCAGGCGCCAAATTAATCAAAATTTTTAAAGTTTGGGTGTAAAATTGATATTAATCAAAATCTAGAGATTAAATTGAAAAATACATGTACGGGGAGCAAATATTCCGGCGAGCCCGTACTCCTTTCTTCCGAGCTTCGAGTCTATCCGATCGTCCTGCGAACACAACGACGGTGAGCTACCCGGCGGTGTGTGGCCGGAAAACCCCTTCGACGGTCAAGTTAGCACACACTCAGGGATAGAGAGAGAGAGAGAGAGAGAGAGAGAGAGAGAGAGACGAGTGTTCAGTGTTTAGCGTATCTCACCAAAAAATGGTCGTCCTTAGCATGGGGGGCATAGACATGCTTACATACCTTTTGCGCCCCAAATCTACTCCCATTAGTCTCTCGACACGTGGTGCTGCTATCCCATCTGTCAGCACAAATCCAGCTATCACGACCTAACCAAACTGTCCGAATACGTCGACGGAGCCCAGCAGACCGGCGGAACCACCTCGGCCTTTCCCGTCCGTGATACGCTGCATGCTCGAGTGCTCTACTAACCGAGCTCCATACCGACCGAGCTCGGTTGCATTCCGGCAAAGCCGAGCTCGAGATAGGTCACGTCGGTTAACAAAAGAGCCTCCTGCCGAGCTGAATGCGTGAGCCTTCCTACCGAGCTAAACGCACAAGCCCTCCTGCCGAGCAACTCAAGTAGCATGGTGCCTACCTGTTCAGGTTCAGGTAGCTCGGTCCAGGCAGTATTGGGCCTTAACCGAGCGGCCCTATCTCTGAGCAAGCCCAAAGCTATCCTGGTCCAAACGCGCTCGGCCTTCAATTTGTCCGACCCTCACTATGGCCCATTCCCAGCTCGTAAATCTCCCTCTCAATTGCCCCTTAATTCCGTCTTCACAAGCGTAACTGGAATTACCTGTTCTGACTGGGGTAAATTCTTCCAAGGTCCTCGGTATGCAAGACGGCAACCGAGCTAGTTGAGATGCCCGGCTCCCAAACTTGCCCGATCGATGCCTCAATTGCCGTCTTGTCTCTTCAGTACTGACGCCGCCGCCATCATGACACGTGTCGCGCATTGATTGGCCTCAAGCAGCCAACCCTCACGTCCCTTCACATTCAAATTTTTGGCGGTTCTTCACCCCTACAAACACGCCATGTCCTCCTCCATTTTATTCTTACTGACTCCCCTTCAACTTTCAACGTTCAAAAGCTCCAGCGCTTGACCTCCATTCTTGTTCTTCTTCTCCGTTTGTGCGTGAAGACTCAGATTCAACCC